ATGCTTTCAAAAAAGATTAGCAGCTTTCATAATTCCTATGAACATGGAGGGGACAGGGGGACAATAACTGAAACTTAAAATGAAGTCATATTGGTTGAAATGGTTCATAAATCATATGATAGAACAACACTCTTTACAGTAATTCTCCATATAGTCCCTACTTTCATTCCGGTAAATGTAACAGGAATATAATTTTTGATGCCATTTATATTCCTCCTTTAAGATCAGTGGCACCATGCTGGATGAAGTAACTGACCTGCTTACCTGTGGGTATTTTCTCTCCAAGGTCTAATCAGGGTGTGTACATATACACTGCATGTGTCTGTGTGCTTGTGCTTGTGCTCCCCCCAGGTACTACAGATGCATGTATATATGCATTTTTTCAAGGACTAATTATAGTATGCACATACGTATTGTCTGTGTGCGTGCGTACATGTATATTTGTGAGCCTTTGAGTATCTAATTATGCTGATGATACTCAATTATATCTTTCTTCTCCTGGCAAATTAAGTGATGCTGTGGATGTCCTGGCCCAGAGCCTGGAGGCTGTGGGGGTCTGAATGGGGAACAACAGGCTTCAACTGAACCCCGGCAGGATTGAATGGCTTTAGGTTTTAGGGCCTTCTGCATCTGGGACATTACCATCTTTGGTACTGGATGGGGTGGCACTGCCCCAGACAGACCCAGTTCGCAATCTGAGGGTCAACTCACGACCCCTGCTCAAGGAATAGGTGGCAGTCATGGTCAGGAGCTTAGCGCAACTTCATGTTGTGCGCCAGTTGCATTCATTCCTGGATTGTTAGGCTCTGCTCACAGTTACTCATGCCCTAGTCATCACCCACATAGACTATTGTAATGCGCTCTACATGGGGCTTCCCCTGAAGACTACCCCATTTCACCCAATTGAAGGTTACAAACAGACAGACACAAGAGTTTTAGTAATATATAGATTTATACAAGAAACACCCCAACTCTGACTGCCAATGTCTCTCTAGGGAAAAGGCTCCTTATTCGATCTTTTCCTGGGTGACCAGATGAATTCTCTGTCCATTATCTTTTCTCTGACTTGGAGAATTTGCTTGCAATTCACAGCCTCTTTGATTATCTTAGCTGGCAGACTATGGGACAGTATCATAAATTGTGAATGTCAGTTGGCTTATCCTTTTTTAGCCTTTTTATGTTCTCTCTCTAGCTGTGCAAACTGTTGTATTTTGCATTTTGTTATTCGTTATTATATTGTATAGTATCTGTCCCACTGATCAGGGGTGCTAATAAGGAATTGAACTTATTACTGTATTCCCATGTTGCAGAGAGGAATTTGGGCCTGCCCAGGACACAGCGCAGCCACATCCAGGCATGGTTACTCAAAAAATTGTTCCTTAGGCCCCCGCAGGGATGTATTGACCGCAGTCTGACAGAGGTCACAGATCAGGGAATTCCTCATTTCATAATCATATAATTAGCCCAAAGAAACAGATCTGCACATGAAAAAAATTAAAATGTACTTTAAAAAACCCTCCACCCCAAAAATGACTCCCCACACTTATCATGGCAATTATAAACAATTCCCTAATCTCTTCACCTCCTCTTAGTTAAGAAATATAAAATTCTTCATTTCTTTTCCACAAGCATATTTATTTAAAAAAAAAAAGTTTCAAAATCTTGATATTCCAAGTCCAAAACTCCCAACATTTTCTGAGCTCTTAAAACTTTCTATAACCAAAACCTTGTCTTACTTTTTGCTTTAAATACAGTTTTTGTATTTAAAACTGACTGATGCAAGTTATTGTTTTATCATTTCTGGATTTCTGCAAAATTAGGGACTTGCCAAGACAGGAAATAAGACTTACTACAAACACTGACATATTATTTCTACAATAATTTCTGCTAAACAAACTCAGGGCACTTTCTTGTCAACTGTCAGGATCAGAAAAGTCATAAGGCTGAAAAGTTTTGCAAAAGAAAGCATGATGAGATTGCAACATTTTTAGCTGGAAACATGCAAGGGTACAACAATGACTGGCCAAGGCAATGTGGGAGCTGAGGCCTGGTAAAGATAAAGCCTCTCTATAGTCAAGCTCAACTTTTGGTGACTTCGTATCACAGACTCCCCCCCCCCCCCCACTTAGGTATGGATAACTGATGGCCCTTCAGATGCAGCTGACCCTTATCTCCTAGGAGGCCCAGCCAAAATGGTAAACGGGCAGATATGCTGGGAAACGTAGTTCAGCA